TAGCACTAGCTAGGACCTTAACCTTTTAGACTATAGCTAGATAATCTATTTTAATTATAGATTAGTACCTCTACCTTATACTAACTAAGTAGCATAGGCTTTCTAATCTAAGTATTAAGTTAAATATCTAGGTTTACTAACTAGATATTACTTATATTAGCGCTCTAATTAAATAATATAATAGAGGTAAGCGCTATACTAGGATTATTTAACCCTAAGCGCAAGAAGGAGGTATGCTATATTAACACCTAGATATAGGGAATTAATAACGTACTAGTAGTAGTTAATACTATAGATATAATACTAGTCTAAGATACCTCTAGATTATAGTACTATATAAATATAGTAATTATTACTCTATATAATCTTACTTAATAACTCTAAGAGGTACTAGTAGAATAGGTATTAGTGTTGTCCCTATATAACGCATATAACTACCTACTACTAGCAATAATTAATAAAGCTACTAAGGAAGCCTGCTACATAGGAAAGACTATCCTTGCTAAGCGTCTTTAAGTAGTCCTAGTCCTTACTATTAACTCCTTAATAGGTAAGGATTGTTAGTTTATAATCTTTAACACTACTAGATATATAAAGGAATTCTTCTAGAAATAACCTTAGATACTAGTTATAGGAACCTAAGCTAAGACCTTACTAGTAATTATAGCACTAATATATAATATTACTACAAGCCTACGCTTCTAGTTTAACTACCTTAAGCATTTATTCTATAAATAGGGAGCTTTAGGATATTATATTATAAAAGTTAATTTATTATAATAAAATAGTTTTACTTAATACCTTATAGTATATAAAGCCCTTAATATCTATAGATATAATATTAGAAAAAGCCTATATAATCCCTCTAAAGCCCTAATAGGTGTCTACTATAAGACTATTACTACTAAGCATTCTACTACCTTATAAATAGCTATTTAAGCTACTATAGATTTATACCTAAAGGATAATAATAAATAAGATAGGTATAAGTCTACTACTACTACTACTATAGGGGAGCCTAGTAAAGGGATTTAAGAGTGTCGCGGCAGTTAGACTAGTTACTATCTAAGGATTTTCTTATAAGGACGTTTGCCTTATAGAAGGGGGTAGATGCTATATTATAAACGCCTAGGTCACGTGTAACAGGCTTAGCCTCTTAGCGGTGCTTGCCTATAGATAGCTCCTATCCTCCTAGACTAGGACGATATGATCACATTACACACTGCATTTGGGCCCTCCTTATCGTCGGATATTGCACACTTCTGGTTTTAACAAATTGCACAAGTGCTAGTCTTGAAGGTCTATAGCTCAGTGCTGAATTGCACTGAACACAAGTTACTTTCGAGGTCAGGC